TGTCCACAAATTTGGCAAATCGCATCTACCATAACCAAGTGGGAAGAAAAAAAAAAAACAAAAAACACTACTGGCGTGTGCTGGAAGGGAAATGTTACGGAGACATTGAAGTGTTGCCTGGGGGACGTGGTCTAGGAATGAACAGAATCGAGCAGATCCCCAGAGGGCAGCCAAGTGGGGGCAAGTGGCTTGACCTTGACTTCCTCACCTGTGAAAGAAGAGAAACATCAGGTGGTGGCCAGAATTAGATGGGGTGAAGCGCAGAGCCTGGCGCCTCGCATTGGCTGTTACTACAGCTGCTGTGTTTGAGTCAAATACAGACATCGGCTCAGTGTATACGATCCACATAGAGATGAACAGGGACTTATCTGTGTCTGGAACCCACTCTTTCCATGATTTATCATTTAGACCGTTCACTAGGCAGGGTAGCCAATTCACATCGACAATTCAAATGCATATTATTTCTAATCCCAATACCAAAAATAACCATAGTTAACATCTATCTATGTCTATTGCGTGCCAAGCTCTGTGCTAACTGCCTACCTGGATGACTTGATTTAATCCCTACACCATCCTATGAGGTGGGTGTGGCCACCCCATTAACAGAAGAGGAAAGCAAAGCTCTGAGGGTCCAGAGTCATACAGACAGAAAGTAGTAGAGTTGGGATTTGAACCCAAGCCATCTGGCTCCAGAGGCTAACCCCTTCCCTTCCCCTCCACTCTCCTCTCTCTTTTTTTTTTTTTTTTTTTGAGAGAGAGAGAGCACAAGCAGGGGAGAGAGGCAGAGAGAGTCAGAGAATCGCAAGCAGTCTCCACACCCAGTGCAGAGCCCAACACGGGGTTCCATCCTGATCCTATAACAGCGAGATCATGACTGCAGCCAAAATCAAGAGTTGGACGCCCACTCAACTGAGCCACCCGGGCGCCCCCAGAGCCCGACTTCTTAAGCAGGATGTTCAATCTTCAAAGCAACAATCTTTTATCGAAAACCTGCTACATTACAGACTATGTTAGGAGCAGAGATAAAAATCTATGCAGTTGAGCTCCCTGCTCTGGGTGGAAAAGCATCCCCCCCCCGCCCCCCCACACACAAATTTCATGTCAATCTAGAACTTGGGAATATGACCTTATGTGGAAAGAGGGCCTTTGCAGATGTCATCAAGTTGAGGTGAGGTCATACTGGATTAGGATGGGCCTGAGGGCCAGTGGCTGGTGGCCTCATGAGAAGAGGGGGATATAGACAGGCACGTGGGGAGAGTGCCGCGGGACAGTGGAGGCACGGAAAGGAGTGACGAACCACAAACCGAGGAGGCCAAGGATCGCCTGCGGCCACCAGAAGCGAGGAGGGAGGCATGGAACCCATGCTCCCCCAGAGCTTCCAGAAGGAACCAGCCCTGCCGTCACCTTGATTCAGGACTTCTAGCCTTCTGAACTGTGAGAGAGTAGATGTGAGTGGCTTTAAGCCACACAGTTGATAGTGATTTGTTGTGGGAGTCCTAGGAAACAATACCCCAAGGAAAAAAGAGGCTTTCTCTAGTCACCCATAGACCCTGTTTGGCAATAGGGCTTCTTGTCTGAAAGTCATGGTTCCCCACCGGCCGTGAGTAGGCAGGGGGAGAAGCCAGTGATGAATCAATCCGCGGCCTCACAGGAAGCCTGCTTTCCTGTCAACAAGGCACAGAGAGAAAAGCTGCCCACGTCGGGCCAGAGGGCCGTCCGCTCGGCCCCTGTCACAAGGCTCAAATGGGGAGGGTATTTTCATAAAGGGAGGAAAAAAAAGGAGAGCCCGCCGAGCTGTGTTTGCATCTGGTTTCTGCTCAGGAGGACAGCATGCCTGCAGTGACAGCTCATAAGGAGAATGCCGAGGCCTCAGAAATCTCGATGCAAATAAGGGGCCAGATATTTCCCCACAGACCCACTAAAAGCAGAAGCTCTCGAGGATTTGGCAATCTGGTTCCCTTTGAAATCTGGTAAATGCTATGGATTAAATCTCTCCAGGAAAAAAAAAAAAATCCAACATGCAAAATTTGGGGTGACATTTCAAGATATCCTGAACTTCTTTTTTTTGTTAATTTTATAAATATTTACTTTTTGAGAGAGAGAGAGATTGAACACAAGTGGGGGAGGGGCAGAGGGAGGGAGACACAGAATCGGAAGCAGGCTCCAGGCTCCGAGATGTCAGCACAGAGCCTGATGAGGGGCTCGAACCCACGAACCGCAAGATCATGACCTAAGCCAAAGTCGGATCCTTAACTGACTGAGCCACCCAGGTGCCCTGAACTTTTTTTTTT